ACAGCGAACATGATGAGCGAGAAGTTGGCTATTCTCCATAAGCAGAAGAGGCACAATCAAGAGTACTAACCTGTCACGAACAGTCATCGAGCACCCGCAACAACTTCGTTCAGCGAACTGTTCGTCGCTTTTACATACTTGTACAGAGACATTGTAGCATGTTTTGCCTTGGTTTTGTGTGTTTTTTCTTGGAAAATATAAGCAACGATAATTCACAACGCTGCGGTGCAACTGCTCATTGTATTAGGTCAAATTGCCCTAAAATGGCTCTGATTTCATATGCCATGACTTGTTTTCTATAAACCGTAGCTGCACCCAATACATCAGCCATCTTAGCACCCTGGAACCCCCCGGGTGGCACGGGGCTGGATAAGACTTCGGTATATTGTCGGACGTTGAACAATCTTCATAAGCTCACACGTTAACTTAATAGGAACTTGTCTTCACGCCCGACACCTGGTGAGAAGTTATTTGTGGACTTGCAACTATTCGTTCTACCTTCTAAAGTTTTTATTTTTTCCTTCCTTTCTTTTCTCTCTTGCACTCAAGGTGCTCGCTGAATTGCTTATAAAGCTTCCCTCTTCGTGAGATGTCGGGACTTATCTATTACTTGTTTTTAATCTAATCAACTTTCTATTTTATAGGTCCTTCGAGACCTGTACGATGTTGTAACTATGCGGACTCTTTGCGAATCCATAACAAACCAAGAAAAAAAGCAACAAGGAGAGACTTATAGCGGTGAAAACCCGCCTAGATATTCTTGAAGTGAGCTTAGAGGAACTCTACTAAGATCAACAAAGACTTCTTTGAGTAGAGAGCTTGGAAGAAAAAACTGAATCCTGAATCAACAAGGTTAAGACCCTAATCATCCGTCAATCGATCGACTAACGGACGATACCAAAGAATCCATACAATATTTGCATGGAGTCGTGGTGAAACTCACTTCTAGAGTGACATTGCTCACGAGGGCACTAAATGTGATAGGGAGCAACACCCGCATTGTGACGCCATAAAACTTGAGGGCACTTGAGCCTCATTGCTATGAAGGTGCTAGGGACGCAAAGGAGCTCAAAAATTTCTTGTTTGACATGGAACAATATTTTCGAGCTACAAGGCCCGATTCTAAAGGTACCAAAGTTTCAATAGCAATCATATATCTGAATGAGGATGTAAAACTTTGGTGGCGAACCCATTAGAAGGAGATCTAACAAGGTCAGTGTCGAGTGGACACATGGGCTGACTTAAAGTAAAAGTTAAGAACTCAATTCTTACCCGAGAACATAAAGTTCATTGCAAAGAGGAAGCTGAGACAACTCCGCCAAAATAGTTCCATTCGAGATTATATGAAGTAATTTTCTGTACTAATGCTAGATATCCAAGACATATCCGAGAAGGATAAGTTGTTCAGCTTCCTTGATGGTCTGAAGCCATGGACTCAATAGGAACTGCATCGATGGAATGTCATCGATATGATCAGGGCAATTACGGTCATAGAAAGACTCATCGACTTTGTTTCCTTAGAGGACTTAAGGAAAATGAAATAATCTTCAGGAAATCGCTCACCAAAATATTCTCGAGGGAAGGAGCCCAAGGGCGAGGTAAGGAAGAAGAGTTCTCATAAAGGGCCAAGCTCAAAAGGCAAGGCTCCAAAACCTAACAGATGCTTCTTGTGCGAAGGACTGCACATGGTGATGGAATGCCTATAGAAACAAGCACTCAATGCCTTAACAACTTCAATCCACCCTCCCAAATCTAATAAGGGCAAGGTCATCGCTCTTAGTTTGAGTAGTTCAAAATCCATTAACGACGATAAGGAGTCGCAAGAACCCTGGATGGGGGCAATGCATTTGTTGAATACTTTGCAGGGTCAATTGGGAGAGAACATGAAGAGAAAGCTACATAAAGTATGGAGCAACGAGCTTATGTACATGGACATAAAGTTCAATGGCCAAACAACACATATAATGGAGGAATATGTTCGAACGTGCTTTACTTACCACCAAGATAAGGTGGAGCAATAGAAGCCGATGGGACTTTTGGAGCCATTGCTCATATACTAGAAAAATCATGGGAGAGCATTTCCTTTGACTTCATATTAAGCTTACTAATAGTAGGGGACTCGGATCAATACTTATTGTGGTTGATCGATTTTCAAAGTATGTAACTTTTATTGCTACACCCTTACACTGTTCAGTAGAGGAGGCGACCAAGCTGATGATGAAGAATGTGGTGAAGTGATGATTCTGGATCGAGCTATTCAAATTGTTGAGGTCTAAGTTATACTTCTCCACAAGCCTCCACTCTTAGACAAATGGCCAAACTAAAATGATAAACTTACTTTTTGAGTAATATATTTAACATTATATGAGTGTTAACCAACGAAATTGAGTGAAGTTGTTGGACATAGCTTAATTCTCCTACAACTTACAACGAAGCTGTGCATCCAATAAGAGCCCTTTCGAGATCATTATAGAACAACAACTATCGACTCCTCACACCTTAGATATCAAGTATATTGGGAGTAGTCCATCAGCATATCATTTTATAAAAGAATGACATCGAAATGTAAATATTACGTGAGCTTACTTGGAGAAGATAACCAAAATGATGAAGAAGTGAGCAGAATTGGAAAGGCGACCATACGAGTTCAAAGTCAACGATTTAATGTTGGTGAAGCTCTAACCAGCATCACTTCAATTCTTTAGACACAAAGTACACAAAGGATTAGTGCGCAAGTATGAAGAGTCCTTCCTAATTATCAGTAGGGTGGGCAACTTCTCCTATAAGTTACAACTGTCAGCGTGACTCAAAATTCATAATATTTTTTATGATAGCAATTTGAAAGCCTATTACTCAGATCCGCAAGATGCTTCCCGAAGTATTCCAACTCAACTACCCCCCAACCAAAGCCTCATATAAGAAGCAAGTTGAAACTATTTTAGCAGATTACAAGATAAAGCATCCAATTGAGCTGAGCATACCGAGTATTTGGTGAAGTGACAAAAGTTTTCCCGAACCGAAGCTAGTTGGGAGCCTGAAGATGCCCTACGACATAAAGAAACAATTATCAAAAACCACCAACAAGCATCGACAATGGCATCGGCAGCTTAAGTGGGAGAGAATATCATAAACAATCATTGTGCACCCATAACAACTTCGTTCAACGAATCGTTCGTCGCTTTTGCATGCTTGTAAAGATATATGGTAGCATGTTTTACCTTAGTTTTATATGTTTTCACTTGAAAAATGTAAGCAATGATAGTTTGCAGCATTGCAGTGCACCCGCTCATTACATCGGGCTAAACTGCCCCAAAATGGCTCCATTGTCGCGTGTCATGATCTATTTTCTGCAAACCACAACCTCATATAAAACATCAACCATCTCAACACCCTAGAATCCCCCCTGGGTGGCACCAGGAGAGATGAGGCTTCAAGGTAATGTTGTGCGTCGAACAATCTTCACAAGTTCACATATTAACTCGACGGAAACTTGCCTTCGTGCCCGACACCCGGTGAATAATTGTTTGTGGACTTGCAACTGTTCGTTCAACCTTCTAAAGTCCCTATTTTCTCCTTCCTCTCTTTTCTCTCTTGCACTCACGGTGCTCGTTAAATTGCTTATAAAGCTTTCATCTTCGTGAGACGTTGGACTTATCCATTGCTTATTTTCAATTTAACCAACTTTTTATTTTACAAGTCATTCGAGACCTATACGAGGTTACAATTAGGCTGATCCTTTGCGAATGCATATATCGCAAGGGCGCCTCATGATTTAGGTAGTCTCAACTAAGTTTAAGGAGTTTGCGCAATGGTGTTTCATGACTTAGGCAACTCCAATTAAGTCTGTGACTTTACCGCAAGGGTACCTCACAACTTAGATAATTCCAGTTAAGTTCATGACAACTCATTGAAAAGAAGATCAGTAGTGACAGTCGATGGCATCGAGAAAAGATGAATCAAGAGTGAACATAAATCGGAATGACCAAACCACTGTAAATAGATTTATATTTCTCTTTATACTTTTTTTTACTATTATTAATTAATTTAGTTACTCATAATCTTTACTAATGAATTTTCGATATGGATTTATCGATCCAACTTTCAAATCAAAATTTTATTTTAAAAATACTATTTTACTGTTGACATATTAGAGAAGTTCAAATCAAACTATTTTATTTCAAAATTTTATTTTAAAAATACTTTCAAATCATACTGTAACTCATTATGAGGTGTATCTATCCAAGGAATGTGATGTCTTCGTCTGATGTTGGCCCGGACGTCCGGAATTGATTGCCATTAATTAATTAATTAATTAATTAATGATATTTGTATGCGATAATGCATTATTATGTAACCATGGTGTGTTATTATTTCGTTTAATTTCATAATATGCATTACTATTCGAGATTACTTCTTCCCGTGCACTACTTACCATTACATCTTTTCATTCACATGATCATGTAATCACAGTTTGATGATCGGTTCAGTAAATGATTGACATCTCTCTCTCTCTCTCTCTCTCTCTCTGTCCGCCATTTCATCCACAAGTTTTTTACCGGAGCTGATGAAATGTGCGCACCAAACGTTGCCGTGTTTGCATGCCGTCATGTCCAGGCCCAGCTCCGTCCGTGTCTCAACCTGCTACGTCTGCGGTTCGCAGGCTCTCGGTGGAGAGGACGGGATGGTCCCAGGATTTCAATTATCTCCCTGGCTCAACCTGCTCCTTGTTCGAAATTCTATAAAGACAATGGTGCAGTAAACTTAGATACTCTTTGATGTTTCTGCCGACAATTTTCTCGAAGTCAGAAAGAAAATGAAGTAGAAAAATAATCTGTTACGTTTCTGCACGCAGAATCCAAGAGAGACAGACAGATTTCTGCGAGCACCAAAGACTATGGATCCATGCTCTGGTGAGACGACGGCCTGTGCGATGCGTAGTTCCTGTTTGTCCGAATGCTTTCGTGGATTCAATGCTTACGATTTCGAATAAGAGTGCGATCTGCAAAGAACTCCTCGAACCAAATTGGATATATTATGACCTATCTTTAACTGGTGCAGCCATAATTAATACCTAAGAGAAGAACTGACGCGATCGAGATTTTGCTTGGGCTAGATGATCTCCAGCTCCGGAGGTGGGCAAACGGCACTCGTGAACTCTTCGTCGCACTGCAGCGCCTTCATGCACTCCGGCTCCAAGCGGATCTCCAAATCCATGCTCCCTCCCCCCTCCCTCCCCGGATGGAACGTCACCTTCCCCTCGTACTTGTTCGCTCTGCCGCTCCGCACCGCCGCTGGCTTCCCCCACCCGAAGTCGCACCTGTAGACGTCGAACCTCGGCGAGCTCCCCATCTTGACGCCACACGTGTCATGCCCGCTCAGCTTGTACATCGCCGGCCCCGCCATCCATGCCGTCATCGCCTCCCTGACGGCCCTGTCGGTGTGGTCTGCCACGGCCTGGTGGATCAGCCATGCGCCCCAACCCAGCCCCGGGGCCAGCAGCTCTCCCGCCGTCGCGGTCGCCTCGATGATGTCCACCGAGTTGCCGAAGTAGTCCGGCGAGAGCGGCGGCCGCAGACGATGGCGGTTATCGATGGCCAGGCTGCAGCTGGTCTTCTTTTGGGGCGGCAGGTCGCGAGCCCGCGTGATGGACCTCCACACCAGCGAGGAGATGGCCTGGAAAGAGGAGATGGAGTCGGTTCCGCATTCTCGATTGGCTTTGGCTTTCAGATGAGCAATGGATTCCGGTGAGAAGTGGAACACCTTCTCATGACACAGTACCGTCGATGCAAATCTTTCGATGAACTTATCGGGGTGAGTGTAAGGAAGCGTAAGAGGAGTATTCTCACGGCCATCGATGAACCACCGCTCGTGTACCGGAGGACGTGAGAGGCCTCCGGCTCCAGCGTTCCTTGCTATTTCCGCCCAAGAGTTAAAGAAGTGCCAATAGGCGGCGCCGTCGCCGACCGCATGATTGAAGGAGCACGCGAGAAAGAAGCCGTCGGCCAGCTCGGTGAACTGCACCGCAAGTAGAGGCAGAGACCGGCCGTCGTAGTTGACAACTCCGTTGAGGGGAAAGAAGGCCTCGACGAAAGAGGGCTCGTCATCCGACGGCGACAGCACGTCGGCGACGGTGATGTGCTTGGCTACGGCGCGGGTAAACTCGGCACCTCGGTCACCACAGACGACGAATGCGTGCATGCCGGCCGGCTGGCCCTCATCGTCGTAAGCAATTTCGGACACGAGGCGGCCGGCGAGAGGAGGGAAGTGGAGGAGTGCGATGGAGAGAGCGGTTTCGAGGCTGCGGACGGCGTCGTCGGCCGGGAGGGAGGAGTGGCGGTTGGAGAATAGGAGGCCGTTCTGGATGTAGTGCATTGACAACGTGCAGAGGTCCCATGGAGTCAGGTGGCAAGGTGTTCCGGGAAGCGCAACCCTGGGCTTCACAGTGCATGTGGACTCGTGCTGAACCAATGGCGGACTGGAAACCATATCTACTTCCAGAGAGAGAGAGAGAGAGAGAGAACACTACTTTCTTCCTACTTGCCTTCAACTCCCGATATTTATAGGAATCCACCACTGGCATCTTCCTGCAGCTCTTCCAATCTTCGTGCATGAAGTATTTACATATAATACAAACGCTATGCCTCTGTGTGGTCACATGAACCACGTTTTTCCTTTTCTATCTCACCTACTTGCCTGAAGGATGGTGCTAAAAGAATGAGAGAAAGTACTAATACTACAAGCACCTCCTCCCTCCTAGGACACACCCCTTCTCTTACAAAGATGTCATTCTTACACAGGAAATAAGATGCACATCCATCCTGTTTTTTTGTAGAACAGATATGACTTGGGTTATGCATTTCCATTGTTCACTGCATGCCAGATGAATCAGCATCACTTCATATCTGTAGGTGAAACAACAAGATTCCTCATGGCGTTTGCTTTCCTGTGGTCTCTTTAATTTATACCTGGGGGGCCGATGGTTTGCAGTCCATTCTCCATTAATTTACTTTGGGAGAGAAGGAGACAAAAGTTCTACAGGGAATTCACATGGTGTGGCCACAGAACTAGGCTGGCAGACCGCAGGATTGGCAGTAAAAAGCTTGAATGTAGAGAACAGGGGGTGACTCCTTGTTTAGCTGTTTCTTTAATTTATCTGGTTTTATCTGATCTTTTTCTTTCTTCCCCTGTCTTTTCATTTTCTCCACATGTTGTTCCAGATTCCATGTCATTAATGAAAATTAATGTTCATGAATTCCTTCCTTTTCCAAGATCCAATCAACAACAATGTAATCAAAGCGTATGGGACGTCAGATGGCAAGGCATTCATTATCTGTTGCAGAAACACTGCGTATGTTAGGTGACAGGTCTCCTTCAAGTTGACCAACAACTAGATAGTCGATCTACCTAGTTTCAATTCAATCGACTTTGCCCAATGTGTTATGACTAAAGATTCCACTTGCATCTGCTGCTGCTGCTGTTCTTGTGAAAGGGCAAGGAATTCTCTCCAGTGATGAAGCTTCCATTAATATCTCCATCCCTCTGTGGGTGTTCCAGGTTGATGGAAGCTTCTCCCAAGGCAAATGCTACAGATTACTTGTGCATCAACATCAACGAGACTTGACATTTAGCAAAGACTGATGAAGGAATCATTCCTGCACCACAAGTTGTGTTCTGGCCTTCTGCTACTTCTTCTTCGAAGACCAGTCTTCATGGAAGGCAAAAGCATCATCTTGAGTGGGTTCTACCGACCCACTTTGATAAACTTTAAGACATGCTCTATATTCTACAGCATCCGAATCAACCATTAAAGTCCAATAACACGTTGTACAAGCTCCATATATTCCATTCTGTGTTATCCTCTCTTAGGATTATCTTTTTGTCCTTCACCATAATCCTCGTATCTTTGTAGCTGTACATGAAGTCATGTCATGCTACCCAATCTAACAGTTCCTCTGGTACTAACCAAGCTTTAGGATCATAATCCCAAATCACTTGATGGGTTAGAAGAAACACCATCACTTAGGCTTCCTAATGCAGAGTAGTTAATGGAGCTTATATGAACGGAGATTGCAGGGGCAATACGGTCTATACAACTCGAAGGAGGTCCCACTTCACCAGCTCAATCCGAGTCCATTCGATCTCCATCCAACGGCCACCAAAACTCAACCACCAGTGTACCTACACGTCACTCCTACGTGTCAGTGACGTGCGACGAAGGCCGTGCGCTCTCGTCCCACGTGCCGACACTCCTGTCGGTCACATCTACATCCCCTCCCACACCCCCCCAACATCAGCTGCCGTCCGTTCCTCCCTGCTTCAAATCTCCTCCGTGCGATGCGCCATGCCTTCGATGTGCTCTCCACCGGAACAAATTTGTTACATTATTATTATTAGTATTATTATTAACGAGATTCCTTTATTGCTAAGTGACGCGTAAATTTGCCTACGAACGGTGACGAAATCGAAGCGGAGGGTAATTTGTGGCGTCTTCAGAGAAAACAGAGGAGATTGGATCGTTCCACAGGTTTGGTAAGGGGAGAGAGAGAGAGAGAGAGAGAGAGAGAGAGGGAGAGGGGAGAGAGGGGGGGTGGGGTGGAGATGGAGGGAGGAGCCCAACCGACGGATACCGAGATGGCGGAGGCCGGAGGGCAGCCGCCTCCGTCGGCCGCAGCACCGCCGTCGCAGGGGCTGGAGAACATCCAGGAGACGCTCAGCCACGGCGGGCGATTCATCCAGTACAATATGTTTGGGAACGTCTTTGAGGTTACCTCCAAATACAAGCCACCCATCATGCCCATCGGGAAGGGTGCCTACGGCATCGTCTGGTAATTTCTCCCTTTTGGTTTGCGTTCTCGAGCCGGGGGAAAGATCCTGTGTTTTTTTTGGTTGCTGGTGATCTCGACTGGATTACTGGGGGCTAATTTTGGATGGGGTGTTTGTAGCTCGGCTTTGAACTCGGAGACCGGCGAACAGGTGGCGATCAAGAAGATAGCCAACGCATTCGACAATAAGATCGATGCGAAGAGGACGCTGCGTGAGATAAAACTTCTCAGGCACCTGGACCACGAAAATGTCAGTGAGTTTGTCAGCTCTGTTTACCCTGTGTCTTTTTCTCCTTTTCCTTTTTGTCTTTGCTTGCTCATTTAAGAAAGTTCCCAACGATCAATTTATAGATCCATTAGTGAAGTGTCAAATGATAATTTTATTGCAATACGTATATGTCTGGCGTTTCTTTTGATCTTCAATGGTCAATTGAATTCACCCGCTGTTGTTTAGTGAGTAGCATGAATGAATCAGCAATTGGGCACACAACTTTTAAGCTGGGAGTGCTGTGAATGGGCAAGATATTTTAGTAAAGGGTCATCCTTGGTTAGCTTTTTCCTAATGTTGGTGTTATGAATACCAAATCACATAAGCAATTAAATGTTTCGAAACAAAAGGCTTAATTTTGAGGCTTGCAAAATGCAAACTTCGCTAAATTTATTGTTTTACAAGGATTCACATATAGGACAAACTGTTCATCGAATTGAAAATATCAATAGGAGAATGTCCGAACGAAGTAGAGGGAAGTGTCGTTTTATATGGAGAGTATCACTTGGGAAAAAAGAAACACATGGAAATCTGTTTGCTTAGTCTAGCACAGCTTATTAGGCCAAAACAACTTTTACTAGTCTACTGTGAAAGAGAATGGGCTGCAATTAATATATGGCAGATTAACAAACACAACACTAGTTGTTGTTGGTTTTTTTGTAACAGCCATGTAAGTAATGATAGGGTCAATGTTAGTCTTGACAATTGTTGGTCCACAGTTTTTAAAATGGACACTTTTAGTAACATTTAATTGTTAAGAACAAGGAGATGGAATAGGACAATGTAACCGTAATTGAGCAAAGGAGGAGAGTGAATTTTTGGTGGATTTTGTTTAAATTATGCAAATACCTATTTTGCTTTATTCATAATAGCTGAATGTCGTAGATACAACATAATGAGGAAAATGAGTGGTTTTAGTGAATATATAGACTGGAGAATGACTACTGGTATTAGTTAGTTTAGTGAAGATATAAAAGCAGTTAGTTCTCAGATCCATAGATGACTACTGGTATTACTTGTGTTGAGTTTTCAAACGTAATTCATACCACTGACATTGTTACTAGAGGTCTATAAAGCTTTACTATTGTGCCTTTTATATGTTTTACAGATAAGTAACTTAAGTATCTCTCTAATTTATACTATATTTCTCAGTGCCATTGACTTTATCTCTGAGAGAGAGATTATTGTTATTGCAACTCATTTTGTTGTGTAAAAATGTACAAATTACTTAACTCATATTTGGAAAAAATGAAGGTTCCTAAAAACCTTAGATTTCTATTTTTTAGATCAAAGAAGTTCACATGGTGTTTATTGGAAAAAAAAAACTTATGTTTTTTCTTTTCTGATTTGTGTATAATGAATACAGATTGTTGCAATCAGAGACATAATACCACCCCCTGTACGTGAGACATTTAATGATGTCTATATTGCTTATGAGTTAATGGACACTGATCTTCATCAAATTATCCGTTCAAATCAAGCTCTTTCTGAGGAGCATTGTCAGGTTGTATTTTAACCCTCTACACTGTATAGATTGATTTATATTTGCTTCATTTTTAGAGTTAGTCATCTTTGATTTGTCACTGAACCTATCATGATGCTATAACTGTTGACTAATAGATGGACTTAATCATCCTGCACATGTTTTTGTAAGGGAATGGACCATTTCTAATGGATTTACATCAGTTTTATCTGTTGATAAACTGTAGTGCCCTTTTGTGTGTAACTTCAGCTAATAACAAAAGGTGATCAATTTTCATTTGGTTTGTTTCCAAATTGTTTGACATGTGACTGAGAAAACTAGTTCTATGTCATTTGTTCTTTTAGTTTCGTTTTACTTAAACAAGTTTGCTCAAGCATAAATGATGCTTGATTGCTTTAAAAAGGTTTGGAAAAGCTTAAAACATTTTTTAAATTGTCACCAGCCGAGCTTATTATAAGCTTATCCCAAACTGAGTTCAAGTTTGGTATTACTGTCAATATTGTTGAATCTCGTATTTTGATGATGAAACCACTTGATATATGTTTATGATTTAATATGCGTTTTGAGTGACGCAGGCTGCTTCGATCAGGATGAGACAATTATAACAGAAAAAATCATGTTGTGCCGGAGGAACATGTCAGAAGATTGGATGTCGGGCCGATGGATCGGTCGACGTATCGACAGAAGGCTTCGGGTCGTGGACTCGGGCATCGGGCCAAGAAGAGCGGGTATTGTGCCAAGGATATCGGAGTTGCGGAGTCAACTGACCGATTGGGCAATAGGTCGCAGGAGAGGACGATGCGCCGAAGAATCGGACGAAGCGTCGAGGGACCAATGACATGCCGGACAACTTGGTTAATTGCTTAGGATTAATTGTCTCGATCGAAGTTTTGTTTTACATGTGCAGGATTAACTACGATGGAAGTAAGACATGCAGTAGGAGTTGCGCCGGAGTCAAGACAATGATCACGTTGGGAGTTCGAGAGTTCGACGGAAGTTCGGACAGTCGTCGGAGGTTCTACGGGAACAAATCCGAGAAGTCCATGAGCTTGCTAAAGAAGCTCGTCGGAACTCGCCAAGTGGATCGTCGCAAGTCCAGGAGTTTTCCGGAAGTCCGCAGGAGCATCACCGAGGGTTCATCGGATGATCGACGGAAGTTCGCCGGAAGCTCGCCAGAAGAAGCGATTGACGCACCGGAGCAAGTTGCAGTAAATATCTTAGGAAAAATTGTAGTTAGCACAATGATTAAGTTGAAAATGGGAGGTGATCCCATTAACTTAATCTTGGGGCAATTGGGCCCCTGAAAAACCCAAATTGGGCCGAATGGATCAACCCATTCGGACCCTGATTTCTGCCAGGCGGTTGAACCGCCCAAGCCAGGAGGTGGCACCGCCTGGGCTAAGTCTTCGAGCGAGACTGGGCGGTGCAACCGCCCCAGCCAAGAGGTGGCACCGCCTGGGCTCAGTCTCCGAGCGAGACTGGGCGGTGCAACCGCCCCTGACAGGAGGTGGCACCGCCTGAGCTCGGTCTCCGAGCTCTGGCCGAGCGGTGCAACCGCCTCAGTCAGGCGGTGGCATCGCCTGAGCTCGGTCTTCGAGCTCTGGCAGGAGGTGCAACCGCCCCTGACAGGAGGTGGCACCGCCCAGAGGCTTAGTCTTCGAGCTCTGCTAGGCGGTGCAACCGCTCCAGTCAGGCGGTGCAACCGCCAGATCCCGGAATTCCGGGAATTGACAGTTTTGAGCTCCAAATTCAAACTGGGTTGGGGCCTATAAATACCCCACCCTTTCAGCACTGAAAGGGCACCCAAAAACCACCGAAATTCTGATTTTACTTTGTGATTTTTAGAGCTCAAAAGTATTGTATGAGTTGAAAGTTCTTCTCCCTCTTTTCTTCCAAGTTCTGAGCTTTAAAGAGAGGAGAGAAAATTATGTAAGGGTTGTCTCCTAAGCCCGTCAAAATGAGTGAAACTGTAAAAGGGTGGTTGGCCTTCGCCTATTGAAGGGAGGCCTCTAGTTGACGTCGGTGACCTCGTCGGTGGAGGAAGCCAAAAGCGGAGTAGGTCAAGATTGATCGAACCACTCTAAATCTCGGTTTGCATTTACTTTGAGTATCTTATCCTTACTACAAACCTCCTCAATAGCTTACTGCCTTCTGCGCATATACGATCGTGTTTCAAGCTCTGCATTTTCCGAATCGGCGTTTAGACGTAAATCGCTTTTATCGTACGAACGCAGTTTTAATCGTAGAAAGATTTCCGCTGCACTAATTCACCCTCCCCCCCCCCCCCCCCCCTCCTTAGTGCTCTTGATCTTAACAAATATAAACTATATAGCAGGGAAAACCTAAAAATCCAGCTATTTTACTATCTTTGGCTCATGACAGCCTTGCAAAGGCTCAATAAGCCATGCTGAGCTGGTCAATGGTTCCAGTAGGACTTCTTCGTTTTCTTTCTTCATGGTCTGGTCAAAACTGTTAATCATGTAGCAGTTTATTTCATTCTAATGTAAATATTTTGTGATGATAGTTGACCACCTAACTTGACCAGCCAACGTTTCTTTTGTTTCCTTCTGGTACAGTATTTTCTTTATCAGATTCTTCGGGGGCTAAAATACATACACTCAGCAAGTGTTCTCCACAGAGACCTAAAACCAAGCAATCTCCTCTTAAATGCCAACTGTGATCTGAAAATCTGTGACTTTGGGCTTGCTCGCACTACCTCAGAAACTGATTTTATGACAGAATATGTTGTCACAAGATGGTACCGAGCTCCAGAACTTTTGCTTAATTCTTCAGAATATACTGCAGCAATTGATGTGTGGTCTGTTGGCTGCATCTTTATGGAACTGATGGACCGGAAGCCTCTATTTCCTGGAAGGGATCATGTGCACCAGCTACGTTTATTGATGGAAGTATGGTCCTCCCTTTTTAAGTTTTGACTCATTTCCAGCTTCTGAAAAATATATTTTTTGTTCATTGTATTCTTCTATATCATTGGGTTTCCCTTGGTTGCTAATTCAGCATGAAGTTACTAGTATATGGATTTGCATTGGTCCTCTATGAACCCGTGAGCCATAATTCCATATTATAGGCTTTCAGAGATTGAATTCTTTTGTACAACACTAGCTCCTGATTCTTAGATGGCAGTTGCTTGATAGATATTATGGTGCTTCTTTATCAGTTGGTTTTGGATCTTTATGAACATCCAACACAAGCTAATAAATGAACATATGATTTTGTTTTACCTTACATAAGTCATGCTGACATATAGTCCTGTTTAAGTATTACATACCTGAAAATTAGTTGATCACTACTTGAGTTTCTAATATTAGCTTAAATCACCAGTACGTGCTGTCTATAGTTGTCTTCATGTATCTTCTTTTAATGATTACCATGCTGTAAGCTGCTCCAAAACTTTGATTAAATAGAGTTTTAGTGTTGTTCTATTCCTTGTATCATGCCAACTTTATTTCCATACCCAGAATATATGTAATCGCTCTACAAATGTAATCTCATGCATTTATGTTCACTCTAGCATGCATTACCTTTGAAGTTGTCTTATTTTTGCATGATGTTTAATACTTTAATAGTTTAATGTATTTGGTATTCACTTCATGTGCATTCAATCTCTGTTTTTGGTAATTTGCCTCATCTCTTGCAGCTTATTGGCACTCCAAATGAGGCTGATTTGGATTTTGTGAATGAAAATGCAAGAAGATATATTCGCCAGCTTCCACGTCATCCACGACAGTCCTTTCCTGAAAAATTTCCCCATGTTCACCCTACAGCTATTGATCTTGTTGAGAGGATGTTAACATTTGATCCTAGACAGAGAATAACTGGTGTGTTTTTATTTTTCATCATTTTGATGGTTTTAATTAATTTGGAAAATTGCTTATATATGATTCTGGTAGAACTGCTTTATGAAGCACTTTGCCTTTCTGTCCCTCTAAACTGATCGCATGAATGATGTCATCAGTTTAATATTTGATGAAAATATTTGCACCATTTTCGGAACACAATGATGAAATATTTGATTACATTGAGCTGTCACAACTATTTTTATGAGTCACTTAGAGGATTGCTCTCTAGAATTCAAATGCACTTCTAAACATGGTATTTTGAGAAGCTTTTAAGTTACTTTTAAAAGGTGACCAACCAATTGAATTTGACTGAAGGTTAAATATGTATCGACACTGGTTTGTAACTTCTAATTGGATGGTGAGGGATCCTTCAGTTGGACTTGCATATATCAAGCCAAGCCAGTTCCTTTTGGTATTATGGCACATGATTTGTGCAAAAGAATATTAGATATCCTTGACCATGAGCATGGGCTGATGATTTGCCCAGTTTTATTGTTTTTCGCTGTTAGGCTTCTATTCAGTAATGCTGGATCTTGAGCAAATATCATTTTTCTGGGTGTCTGTTTATGAGTGTTCATGATGAAGAATATAGTAATCTTAAAAAAAATAATAACTTGGACATAGTATTTTTCATAAAGATTGGTTGTCTGTTTCTTTTTTGGCATATAATATGGTCAAGACGATTGTGATGATTAATCACATATTCTTTTTGTGTTTTGGTGTCAAACCTTTCATGTGGTGTTTTCGTTACACGGCAAGTTCATGTTCCTGGAGACAGGCTCCAATGACAATTGAGATAATGTATTACCTGCTTCATTTTTTCTTGCTATTCTAGTTTGCTGAACGACTAGTTCATGAAAGATATGTCATGGCTTTATTACCTTGGCACGCCTTTAGTATCTTGCCTCAGTATTCATCATTTGCCCTCCATTTGTTGGCAGTTGAAGATGCGCTTGCACATCCCTATTTGGCATCTTTACATGACATCAGTGACGAACCAGTTTGCATGATGCCCTTCAGCTTTGACTTTGAGCAGCACGCACTCTCCGAAGAACAGATGAAAGAGCTCATCTACAGGGAGGCCCTCGCATTCAACCCAGAGTACCAGCAATAAGACTCAGTAAGGTTATTCACACATCGGCGTTTAATGTTGTTTTGTAAGGCATCATTACGGGTTTCTCTATGTGCACATTCTTGATGTACATATGTGCATGAATCTAGCTGTTGATGATCCTTATAACTCTACATGGAAAACGCAGGAAACTTGGGTGGATCCTTAAGCTTACTGTTTAGGAACTTTTTTCAAGCAGTTTAATCAGCAAAATTGCTGGTCAAAATAATGCAGTATACATATCCAGAGTTCTCATTCCTTCTGTGAATCTTTAGACTTGCAAAATCTGATACGAGGTTGATTATAGAAACCTAGCAGGAGAAATCAAGCATGTACGATTCACAGGGATGTTTCGCTATTGATTCTCTTTTCATCAGAGAGTAGTAGGTAACTTTAAAGGTTTTGAAGTCTTAACCTTAAAGGTTTCTCCAATGCCTCATTTGTAGGTTTTTGGCCTGAAAGGGGCTATTCCTTTGTAAAGAGATGTTGCTGACTGTAATGCTTACTATTGTGCTACTGGTGTCTTATGATCTTATGATAGTATTTCATTCGTGAAACCTCATGTCGACCAAATCATACAGCATTCATTATCATAGTTATATTGGTGCATTCTCAACATGAGTGGTATCTCTGTCCTATGAAGATGGAGAAATGTATTCCAATCAACTATGGACAAATCATCTAGTCAATGTGTTATGCGGTATGCTAATCCCCAATTTGAATTGTAATCATCTTCAACCACAAGTGTCTAGTCACACTCATAGGCAGATGTGTGCTCAAATGGTAATGTACAGGAAGAGTACACCTGACTCCAATAGAAGAGGAGGAAGTATTATTATCAATTAAGGTAATAAAAATTAATTTTTTAATTTCTTTATTTAATATCTAATTAATTATTTATATATATTGTTCCTTATTTATTCATTCAGTACATGAAATAGTTTGAATGATTAAAAAATGATTTCCATATTCACATAAATTACTTTGATATAGTAATATGCTCGTTATAGAATTTTTATTTTAAAAATAAAAAAATATTATAGATGAGTACAAATGTAAGAGGTCAGGTTGTATCGATCCCTTTCATTTTTTTTTTCCCTTGACTTTGATTTTTGTTATGGTTCGACGATAAAAGTCGAAAATGATTAGTACATTCTAAAATATATTAGACGAAATTTCGAGCCATCAATTTTGATCAATAAATGAGTTTCGAAGTTTGTAGTGTGAATAGATAATCAGTTAAACCTGTAATTATATATTATTCCGCAGTCGTTCCAGTCCGTCAAATCTTGATCGTCCCTTTTTCGATAGTTAAGAGAGCGGTTACGAACCGACGGTCCTGATATGGGCGATCAAAATCCTTCGATCCGACGGAGTTGGAAGTGGCCACAAGCGGTCGTGTCACCGTGGTGTGAATGTACTCCCCGGCACGCTTGTTGATTTATGCTTCCCCCGTTCCCCAACAACCAACGACTTCACTCCGCCGCTTCAGCCGTCGGTCACATCACCGCTTCGGTACGTGAGGCTGCTCCACGACCGCCTCCGCCGCCATGGATCCCCGACTTCAGCCGCAGCCCGACGTCGATCGCCTCTGGGCGGATGAAATCCGCTACCTCCACTCCCTTTGGCGGCGCGGCCCCCCTCCCAATCGCAACCGAAACCCTAGAGTTAGTTCCGGCCCCGACCTCCTCCGTGCCACCCCCGTCGCATTCAAAAGGGACTCGCAGCGGAAGGAGGGGATACCGTCGGAGAAGGCCGCTTCCCCTCGCCGCCCCGACGAGGCCGGGACCTCCGATCCGCCGCTCGTCGACTCCTGGGCGAAATTGGCCTCCCTCACCGCGCCGAATCCAAATCCGCCCACCGCATGGGCCGATGTGGCGCCCCCGCCGGTCGTCGAGAGGCCTCCCGTTTCCGCCGAGGAGCAGGCCCGACTAGCCGCGGCTCAACTCCATCACGACGGATTGAAGGCCTCCCAGGACTTCTTCTCCAAAATTGACGAATCCGATGATGAAGAGGAAGCGCATGAGGAGGGGGAGGAGGAGGAGGAAGACGATAAGGAGGAGAAGGATGAAAGACAATTGGAAGCTTTCAAGTTCTTTATGGAACTATTTGAGAAGGATGATGAGCTTACGGAGTACTATAAGAAGAATCATGACAAAGGGGAGTTCTCTTGCTTTGCCTGTGCAGCCATTGGGACGAAGAGGGTGAGGAAGTTCGGGAACTGTTTGGGGCTCGTGCAGCACGCAAACTCAATATCAAAGACGAGGAGGAGGGGAGCACATCGGGCACTGGCGAGAGCTGTGTGCCAGGTTCTTGGTTGGGACACCATTAGGTCTGCCGGCGTTGTTCTTGATTTGGGAGACACTGGTGGCCAGTCCTCTGCCGGGGCTGCCAAAACCCAGGTGATTTGCGTTGCTTATTCTTGAGATGTTAAAGTGTTGTCTTGAAACTCTTTACACTTTTGTTTTGAATGACAATGATTATTTAGCTTAATTCATTTTTATCTCCCTTGATTATTTGCTTTATCAAGATTTGCCTTGTGATGTAGAGAGATACAGTTGTGTCCTTTGCAGTAGAACAGAGTTACATGGATACCTTTGTTATGTGTTATACATATATGTGTAAGATTATGTGCTAACAATATGCTTATGTACATTTTTACCACTGTAATCAAATTTAGGGAACTTTGTGGGTATCCTGTGGTAATCTTATCTGGAATTAAATACTATTCTATTCGGCTCTTGTAAATTTTTCATGGAATGTGATATGATGTGCAGAACAAAGATGTGATCGAGAATGAGGAACACCTTCCTGAGGACATCACACAAAATACAAAAGTAAATGATGGAAATGTCACAGAGAATCTACCCGAGGTATAGGTCTTCCTTCAGTTCGACCGATTTATTACGATCAACAAAGGTCATATTTTGCGGTCCATTGTATTTGATTGTGATATACCATTTCTCTAACAGTAATCATCCATGAAATATTCTATCACTGAGCTCTCTGATTGCTTTATTTGTGCAGATGGCTTCGCCCCCATTACAGGAATGAAAGTGTCATCCGAAGAAAGTTCCTGGATCTGGGAAGATTTATCAAGAAGTTTTACGACTGAAAGCTACTTGGTTTTAGAGCATTTCCGTCGACCTCAGAGAGTAAAGTCAGTGGTCTTATATACTGTGTAATCTTGGCCGGAGATTGTTGAGATCGCTTGAGCAGATTTCTAACTATATTTTTTGTCATGTCTGTGTTACATATCTTAACATGATATCTACTATCTATTATTGTTGTTGCCGTCGTCCTAACATCAGGTCTCAACTTTGGAACTCAAGCAGCTTTCTTCTGTTACGCCTTTAATTTCAATTTCAACGGGGAATCATGGAATTGCAACAGTTTGATGGTGAGCGAATTCTCTACTTGCTGTTATGCCATTCTTGAGTAGGTATTTTGATAGTAAAGGGTTGTTTAGCTAATCGTTGTAGTATTGCTATAGCATTCCATATTCGCTCAAGGAATGACCATATCCTGTGAACGCAGAATAAGAGTTCCTTTTTTGTATGGTAAGTGCATTCCACGCTACTACCAGTGGTTGGTTTTGTGGATTTACTTGGGATTGCATCTCAAAGCTAAATCCTATTCATATCTTTTAAGCAATTGCTACAATTTACTGCAGGTGAGCTATGACTAAACTAGCAATTGCTTCAATTTTCAGGTAACTGGCAGATGGAGTTCAGTATGCTATGACTAAACTAGTATTCCATGTTACAGTAACTGAGCAATTTAGTATGCTATGACTACTCTCTGTAACTCTTCAAGCTCTCAAAGAACAAAGATTTCTTGTACTAAATGTTCTCATATGTATTGCCAAATGACAATGATACTGGATCCAGTTTTTCCCGTATGTTCATGACTAAATCTGAACAGGTCTGCAGACTTTTTTGGTGGATTCAGGCCGAGATTTAGATAGACAAGTAGATATCCCTCGCGCTCGAGGGTTATCCCTGGCCGGGGCCCACCTCTCGCTAGCGCTCGGATGTTGGCGGTGCCGTCCCTCGGCTATCCTACGGAGTCCAAGCTAGATTCGGAGGAGCGACAGCGGAGCGCGGGCCCCGCCGCGCACCCGTGTAGTTTGGGGACCAGAAAGGGGGCGCATTGGATTCGTGAGGGAGGGGCGGGCAGTGTCTCTCGAGCTTTGGATTCGGGTGCCCCCTCGTCGATGGGACGTTGGTGCTCGTGTGTGGGTGAGACCGCGAACGGCGCTGGGTTTGCGTCAAAAGCAGTGCGTGCGTGCGGAGTGTGGAGTGGAGGGCCAAGTGAATCCGAGGAGAATCCAACCGAGGCCCTGCAAAAAGTAGAACGATATCTCGTTCCAGATCTCTCCCACGGTAAAGAGATTCACTTTCCATGGACCGCGACTGCGATCACGACCCGCGTTTCCCCATAGCCAGCCAAGGCCGTGGTTTAATTCGTCTCATGCGCCCGAAGAACCCTCTCGTGCGAACGACTCGAGCCACGTCGACCGTCGACGGAACGCCCACCTGCTGAGCACCACAGTCGCGTCTAAATTCATGGTGTGCAACAAAATTCCAAGTCATCAACTATTAATTGTCGACTTGTTCAAGACGATGATGCCCCAATGACAGGATTAACAAAGCGAGAGTGACTAAGCGAAGAAGAAAAAGGTAGAAAAGACGATGAGTGCTTTTGCTTCCAAGTCATCGATGGATTCTGAAATCTTCAACGAGGCTTTTGCTGCCATCGCTGAAGAGTGAAAGTAATGATGACGGTGGAGAGTTTGAAGTGCGTCCTCCCATCTTTTTCTTTCTCCTATCTTTCTCTTCTCTGATGATAAAGATGTATGAACCAAGTTTGAATTATCATCATCCCAAAGGGATACTTCGAATACACACAAAAAGGGTGATGCTTCGAATACACACAAAAACACACGTAAGAAATCATTTCAAGTCGTGGGTCATCAATCAACAGGCTTTTATGGTTTACTTAATTACATTTCTCGTCTGTTCACCTAATTCATCGTGTCTTTTGTTCATGCTTCTCATTTCCTGCCCGGGGTCAATTTTGTAAGCTTGTGGACCATCTGAATCATGCCGCAGCACCGAGTCAAACCCCCTGACGACGAACTGACACAGATGTGGCACTCCCTTTCCTTCCGTCACGGGAAAACACCCTCCTCGGTAAATCCCATACCACCCAGAAAAATAATAATTAAAAGGAAAAATAAAGGGAGGGGGAGAGACAAAAATCCCACCCGAATCCAGCTGTGATAAACTATGTCGTCCGGAAGACTGCCATATTCCCGTGTCTACCCCTAACAGAAATGATTAATTACGTGGAAGATAGCACCGACACAGGTGAAATACGTAGGGATACTTTGGTACTTTCCTCTCAGGGTAAGGGTATTTCCGGTAACAGGAACAACAGGCACGACCGGGGAGAGGTCTTTATCTTCTGATGCCCCGTCTCTCAACGCCTCCCTTCGCGCGCTCTCTCTCTCTCTCTCTCTCTCTCTCTCTCTCTCCTGTCCCTCTTCCCGCGCCTGCGAGCTCGGAATAGGAGAGAGGAGGAAGAAAACGGAGGAGGCCGTCTCAAAGATTCCATCTTGGGGTTGCTTTCGACATGAAGGTCGTCGCCCGTGGTCGATCGAGTAGCCGGCGTGGTACTTGAGGTCACGCTTGGCTTCGGCGTCTTCGGTTGTTGCCACGACCCTCCCCAATCTGAGGTTCTCCTGGTGTTCTTCCATGTTTTGGCCTCAAATAGGCCCTTTTTGACGGCCTATTCTTCTCATAATCCCAGATAAAGTTTGCTCTTACCGCGATGAACAGGGTAAAACCCTCAAATTTTCTCTTTTTTCTTGTCTTTTCCCCGCATTTTATGTTCCAAAAATCAGATTTTTTTCCTTTTTCCGCTATATGTTGAATCTTTAGGTGGGTCATAATCGTATTACCTTCATGTTTTAATCCTCAATTTCTATGCTACACTCCAGTGACTTCTTTAGTTGTTATTGGCACTATGGATTCCTATGGACTTGTACCTACTTCTGTGCATGTAAATACGTGTTTAGGAGGGATGTAGGAAGCAGTGTGAACTCAAGACAAGGTGAGTGGAAGTGTGATGTCTTAATAAACAATGCAGTTTGCTTCTGTTTGGTAGTACAAATTTGGTTATGTTATCCTCTCTTTTGGGAAGAAGTGTCTATTCTCACCTCTGAGAACAGTTCTCCATTTTGTTCCATGGGACAAAAGCTTAGCATCTGGAAGTGCTGCTGCCGTGGCACGTGACACTGGTTTTACCTATGAAGCGCTGCGGTGCGTGGGTCCTAATCGGTATTATTTATTCCGTGTTTTCATACGGAGGCATCTTTGAAATCGTAGCACCAAGTTGATTCCTTGAATAAAGTAATTGAGATGTCGGAGGACAGAACTCTGATTACATTTCTTTGAGAGTTCAGCCTATTCTAGACATTGGATGTCAACAGATTACTCACTCATTGCTATCATAGTATCTAATTAAATGTTGTATAAGTCTGAGGATTAGGTAAATGTCTATGTTAGACCTTGTTGAGATCAGACGCAATCAAGGATGTAAACAGGGTTTTATGTGCAATTGTATCTCTTTTTTTAAGTGTGAGAATATTTCAAGAGTACAAGTAGGTATGTTCAAATTTATTTGTGTTGGTTGAGCTGGGCCAGAGTAGACTATAATGAGCCTAACATGACCTAACCTAAGATTTACTCCTGTCTTTATGTTTTGTGAATGATTACGAAGCATTGGTTGCATGATGACTTTCTTTCCACCTTCTCTTTTGGTTATAGAAAACCCACTTTTCACACAATTGATTTTTCCCCCCCTTTTTCCACTTGTGCCAGTTCATGCATCATGTAACCTTGCTCAGTTCTCTCATTTCTTGCCAAATGGACTCATTTTTCAAGGCATATTTGGGCATATAGTATTTTAGGTGTTCTATTCTTGAGTTTTTTATGTGTTATGTTAATTTCAATAATTTGCAAAATCTCCTTGGTAGTGGCAGCTGATACATCACAATACCTCTGCTAAATTGGGTTATTACTAAAACTTTTTTGTTATCTTCATTTAGATGCAATGGATGAACTTATCCTGAATGATTCTAACAACTTGCTCGAAACTTTTTCAGTGCTGATATAAAGAAGGAAAAAGATGAATGTGAAAGATTGACGTACCACACATTAGGGGGGATTCTTTTTCTACTTCATGATATGAACCTTACCCAAGTATATAATGGGGCCTTAATGACCATATTGAAATCATCGATAGTTCGGATTGAGAGGAAGAAACTTCTGAGCTATTAGCTCATTGCTACCAGACTTCAGAGTGGAAAAAAAGTTCCGAGACTTCTGCAATCTGTGCTCCAAATATTATAATCCCTACAGGTTAGTTTGATCTTTGATCAATAACTCACCGCTGCCCTATTCTAGATTCTTCTTCCACCTAATCCTGTATAAACAAAAGCTTTTCTCTCATTTGTTTGCTTTTTCTTCTTTTGTTGTACGTTGTAGATTTGCCCCACCATGGGGACATTCTTGATGTTCCCATCAAAAACAAGAATCTGATGTCTCAAAACAAAAGCTTTTCTCTCATATTCAACTCACGGCTTGAAAATCTTTTTTTTCTTTAATTCAAAGATATCATTGTTTTTCCTGCTTTCATAAATTAATGCTCTTGATTTTTGCTGTTTCCTTTTTCTTTCTTCCCTCCATCTTTAAATATGTGCATGTTCTCTCCAAAGAACAGAAACCACCCACAAAAGACCACATCTGAAGTAGAGCGTCATGTTCTGCTAATCAAAGTTCTCTTCCCCTTCTCTGGTCATCTTTTCTCTAATTTTGGTGTTTCTTTTTCTCAATCTTGACACAGTAAAAATGGAGTCCACCAGAGTGACAGCACCACCAAAGTTTGGAACACTAGCTCGGACTTTTAACAAGATCCTTCACCTCCACCGTTCTGTCAATATCTCTGCCAATGGTGCCGGAGTTGCCCCTGAAAAAGATGACTACTCAATCCCCAAGCTCAAGCTCTCACAAAACTTCAGCGAACACTCCAGCATCCTTTCTGAAGGTGTCAGTGAGTTCTACAAGGTTGAACATGAGAAGCAGCCACAGAATCTCTCCTCAAGTGAGATAGAAGCCATGGAGTCCCTTCTTGCTAATCTCTTTGCAAGCATCTCTGCCATTAAAGCGGCTTACGCCCAGCTCCAGATGGCACAGTCACCATATGATCCTGACTCAATACAGTCTTCTGACCTCGCCATTGTGTCTGAACTCAAACGTGTCTCAGAGCTCAAGCACTCCTACTTCACGACCGACTTCATCATCCCTCACACCTCATTTGAGTCTCAGTCAGCACTTGCTGCCCAGATTGAGGAGCAGCGCAATCTAATCAAGACCTACCGGATCACCACGAACAAGCTTAAAGCTGATTTTAAGCTCAAGGATTCGGAGATCTGCTCACTTCAGTTTGAGCTTCTTGAGGCAGAGAAAAATAACCGAACTTTGGAGTCAAAGCTCCATCCTGGTCGATCCCTCTCAGCCTTGGATGGCCTTCACCCTTCTGGCTTAAATCCCACCCATTTCCTTTCTGTTCTTCGGTTCACCTTCAAATCTATTCAATCCTTTGTCAAGCTTATGGTGAAGGAAATGGAGTCAGCTGGGTGGGACCTTGGTGCCGCCGCAGGTGCAATCCAACCTGATGTTCTCCACTGTAACAAGCCTGCTCATTGGACGTTTGCTTTCCAGTCCTATGTCTGCCAGAAGATGTTCTCTGATTTCCACCATAAAAGTTACAACCTTGCTGCCATGGAAGATAGGTCGATGTGGGGTTGGCGTCAGTTCTTTGATGAATTCACTCAGCTGAGATATGTTGAGCATATTCAGAAGCTAAGCCAGCACTCTGCGATTGCAAATTTTTTCAGGGTGAAGTATCTGGCTCTGGTGCATCGGAAGATGGAATTATCCTTTTTTGGCAATCTTGATCAGAGGGCCATTGTGAGCTCAGACCAGAGCTTCCCAAACTCGGCATTCTTTGCTGCATTTGCAGAAATGGCGAGGCGAGTGTGGCTCCTCCACTGCTTGTTCTTCTCATTCGGAGAACCAGAGTCGAACCGGTCAATTTTTCAGGTGCGGCGAGGGAGCCGGTTCTCTGAGGTCTACATGGAAAGCATTGTGGAGGACAAGGATGTTGCAACCGCCAAGTGCAGGCCGGCCACGGTTGGGTTCACAGTTGTCCCTGGGTTCAGAGTAAGGTGGACACTGATCCAAAGCAAGGTCTACCTCTTACCATCAACTTCAGATGACAATCAATGGTAATGAGTGCAGTCAGCTGGCCATCAGGTGCTTGGTATGTGCTGCACCTGATGGAAGGAGAGTATTTTAGGTATTTAACGAGGGGAAGTAATCAGATGGAAACAAGGAAAGCTATCTCTCAACACCCGTGTATAGATTATCATGGCAGCTTGTAATAGTCTTTTGTATGTTGGGCAAGTAATTGTTGAGCTCATGCATTAGAGAAGGTAATGATAGACTAGATGTTAATTAATATTGCATGGAGGCATTGAAAAGTTTGGTAGTGGTTGGTGATGGCATCATGGATCAGTCTGCATCACTAGTGCATGTTCTGATGACTTTTGGGAAGGCTTTGGGTTGGTAGAGCATTTGATGTTTGATGTGGTGTTTTCTTAGCATGCTTTCTGTCTCTTCATGCTTCCAAAACCTGTGGGTTGGTAATTAGTCCAAAACATAAATCAGTGTGTTGTCTTTGGTGTTATCTTTTCTTGTTAATTCTTGCCCTAGTTTGAGGATACTTTAGAAATAAAATTAGTATGTAAAAATTTAATATTAGGATCGAAATTAATATCTTAAGATGAAAGGTGTGTATATTTTAAACATGATAATCAATAAAGTATCATATTTGTATATAGATGAGATTAGAGGGTTAAGATCATATTTATATATAGATGAGAGTATAGGGTTTTAGAAAAATAATTAGAAGAGTATCTTTCGTCAATATTATCTTTTAAAAAATTTTATCATAATTATTTTTTAAATAGTCGATAATCATAACTAAAATTTAATTAGATTTTATAATGTATTTTACCTAATTAAATATGGTTACATAATCTAATATTTTTTCATTTCATCCATTAATTGATAAGTTTTAAAAGGATTTAAAATCAAAATAAATAATATAAAATTTATTTAAAATTAATTTTATCTAATTGGATTTTAAAATTTTAAAAATTATTTATACGCATACGAATTTAAAAATATATTAATAAATCTAAGAAATATAATAATATTATATTAAGCTTGACTAGTAATACGAGTCATAACGATTGTATGTTGTCAATGTCATTCTCCTTTTATCTATTATAATTTTATTAGTCTTTTCGTAGTTCAAAATGACTCATATAATAATTTTAAATGAGTCAAACTAAAAAAGAAAAGAATTAAGATAACTTATCTATATTTATATCTAATACCTAATATATTTATACCTAATCATAACAAAGATATATCATAGAATTCTTGGATATTATAATACTAAGCTATTGTTAGTTTTTTCGTTAAAGTACTTAGTTAATGATTTCTCAATAATTTTAAATCAATTCTTTCATATTCTAATGTGTTAGTTATACTCTATAATAAAATTTATATATTATTAATACATTTATAACATAATAATATAATATTAATACTCTACGTGTTTTTAGTAAATATTAAACTATTGATATCATCTTTATTTAACATTTGAGTAAAATATTAACACATCTACTATTTACATAAGATTTTACTATTATGAAAGATTGATACCATTATTACGAAATAGCTTTATTATATTTGGATATACAACCCTAAGCTATAAAAATATATAAGATTACTATCATATAATTATTCGAAACATATTCTCCTTTCGAATTATCTAAATCTCTCAATTACAAATGTTGAATATTAATTTTTAATATCATTTAAGACTAATTCTTTGATGTAATTTTATAAATTTATTAATCTAAGTAATTTTAGTAGCTATAAGACAAATATAATAATATAAAATATAATTTAAAATATATTTATAAATAATAAAAAATATTATAATTTATATCTCATAAACTTATTATCTTAGACCACTTTGGTAACTACTAGTCAGATAAAACTTAAAGACATAAGTTATAAATAATATTCATCAAAAATTTTAATTTTATTTATATATAAATAATTTAATATTAAATAAAATAATAATAATAATAATAATAATAATAATAATAATAATAATAATAATAATAATAATAATTAAATATTAATCAACATAAAAAAATCATATGATAACTGTAATCATTATAAACATAAATCATACCTTTATATAAAAAATAAATATTATTTTATAATTTTAAATATATACATGTGAATAACTATACAAACATATAAGAACAATAATCAAAATTAATTATCATAAGTAAAAATTTGTATCAATATATCATATGAGAAAATTATTAAAAATTTTCATAATTTATATTTTTTTTAATTTGGTATAAAATTTTAAATTCGACTAATCAATCTTATTTAATTAGACATACCCAAAATTAGACTAAGAGCTTATAAATTTGGGTCAAATATCAGTTCAACTTAGACTAGTTATAATTGGAGTTGACTAAGGTCAAAATTGATTAAACTTAGGATTCAATCAAATGAACGTTGATCGAGGTTAAAATTAGTCAAAAACTTAAATTCTGACCAAATTAAGTCTAAATTAAGTTACAATTATAATCCAATCAAACTGCAATGAAAATTCAGATCAGGTTAAAGACAAAATTGGCCAAAGTTAAAATCAAAATTCCATCAAAATTTGAGTCTAACTCAATCAAGATCTTGAAGCCTAAATGAATAAAGCCCAAGTCTGGTTAAAATCATATTTGTGGTAGGTTATTTGTCAAAATTAATTTTGATAGGATATATGATGAAAATATTTGATTTTTGAAGGATAAAACTATAGTTTTGTTAGGACATATTATTGAAAAAATATAATTTTTAAAGGAGAAAACTATTAAGGGATACCGATTAGAATTAAAAGAATGTAGAATGATAAAATATTCTTTTAATGTGTGAAAAAACTCTATTTTTTCTTCTTCTCAATTGTAACGGTGCATGGCCTGTGTGATGCTCATGACTTTCATGGGCATGATTGTCCATTGCCACTTCGCCTTGGATGCTATGAAGCAAGAGCCTTAGATATCATAGGTCTAAAATAAAAAGTGCATACTTTTTGAATACGATAATAAATAAGGTACTTTAGATGTCATGAAGCATTTGCATTCTGCATAGAAAATAAGTTAGACTTTTCTTCTCTTTTCTATCTATTTTTAAGATCATTATAATTGATAGAATAAGAATTTATCAAAGAAGAGATTTTCATAATTTGATCTCTCAAAGTTTTTGCTTATATATAGATGATAGCATAGGGTCTATAAAAGATAATTATGATCATCGAGATCATATCCTAAATAATCTTATCATAATTAATTTTTTTTTATTAGCCAATAATCATAATGAGAATCTACTAATATATATAATACATCTTATCTAATTAAATAAAATCACATAATATAACAGGATCATCCTATGATTTTTATCTTACCTAAAAAATAATAAAAAAATAAAAAATATATATTTATTTATTATTACAAAAATAAAACAGTCCTAAAAAAATTTAAATCCTTAATTAGTCTCTAGTTATCTTAGAGCTCATCTAAAGCTCATTGTTTATTGAATGAGTGAAGACTGTGTGTGTGTGCTCTTACTTGTCGCCATAATTAGAGATGACGTCAGGGGAATCGGAGTTTTGTTGCTTTTACTCGGATTCTTTAAGATTCATATATCCTCGGCCTTCCCTTCTTGCACGGTTTTTAAAGCAAAGGTATATTTTAGGTACACGTCACAAGTCATGTCACGCCGCGCTAAATTAGAAGTGATCGAAAAATACAATTTAGGTTTAATATTAGGCCTAAAATTGGCCGTATTTGTGTTATTGGGCCCGAAATTGGTTGGATTCATGAAGGTCCAATTTTTGACCCATCAATTATAAGGCCTGTGGCGAGTCGGCTCAGCACAGCGACGTATCCCCTTCGGGTGGTCTCGGATTTCCGATCTCCTCTTCAGGTGGTCCTTACGTCTCCTCCGTCTCTGATCCCCAAATCGCCGTCCAGTTCCGTGCTCGTCTCTCGCAGTTCCTCCATTCATGGCCGATTCCTGGTGACCCTCGATCGCCCAATCGTATCTTGATGGCTGTGAGCGACAAGCTCTTCCCTGCAATCGAACCCGAGGAGCCAGAGCCCCACCGGCCCGACGCGGTTATTAGGTCCGTGGCGGCGGTTGATTCTAGGGTTTCGGATGCCAGAGTCTTTCATTCGTCCCCAGAGGTGATGTCTTTCGTTGGATGCGTATTTGTCTTCCGGTTCTTGGTCTTAGTTACGGCGGGTTAGCGAAAGATTTTTTAGGGTTTTTTTTTGCGGGGGGAGGGGGATTTATCTGCTATTTACATAAAGATCATGCCTTTTATTCGATTATGTGTTATTTGTCTTTTGCTCTACTTCTTGTGGTTTTTTTCTTGTCTGTGATTGTTCTCTTTTATTTTGCCTCAGTAGAACGTACTAGCATTTGTACTTCTTCGCTCAGCACAATTTATTTAGGGCAAATGCTTCCCAATTTCAGTTTTTTGCGCCCTTTTATCAATCTATTAGTTGCTTCAAAAGTTGAAGCTCAACAAATTGTCAGTACCTTGCTAAGTTTAGAGAGTGAATTGTTATAAACTATTTAGGTAACTATATCAGGCAGAGTACACAAAATTCCAGTTGCCTTTCTGGAATTCTATTAGCTGCTTTACTCTTATCTGGGTAAGTATTCAAATCTAGAACAAGACTTTGCTATGGCGCATCGAATCAGCTGTATATATATATATATATATATATATATATATATATATAGTGAAACCCCGGTTTAGCCCCACACGAAAAGGGAGAGAATGAACTTATGCTATATTGATATATTATTATTAACTTAGATTTAAATATTTTGAGTTAGTGGCTCAGGCTCAATAAAATTAATTATCGTCACGACACATATGTCCAAATTTGGAGGACACCTTTACTAAAGGGGGAGGAAATATTAAATCCAATTATTTGGTAAGACTAGATATGAAATTCAAATTTTGAGGGTCAAATTTCCTAAAGGGGAGGTAATGCTAGACCTGAATACTTACTAAAACTAGATTAGAAATTATAATTGATTTGGTTATAATTATTAATCATGGTTTATATGGTTTCCAATTTAATTTAGGTTAAACAAAGCAAGGATGTTGGTTAAAGATAGAATGTGATTATTGATTAATTTATTGTGGAGTAAATTAAGACTATGCCTTTTGGGGAGAGGTAAGATTTTTGTATGTTAAATCCCCCTTGAAGCTCCTTTCAAGTCATCGAGGAGCAAGATCCACTGCAGGGAAGAGGAATATCAAGCAACGAAAAAAGAGAGGACAATGCAACATCACGAAAAAAGTAGAGATCCTTTTCGATATTCTGTTCTTTGATTTTCTCCTATTGATATACCTTGTTCTAATCGCCGTTTCTCATATTGGATTGTGATAATGAAGTGATTGGTTTTTACATTAAATAAGTAAAAGTGTTGAACGTTGAGGAGCTGCTTTTATGATATGCCCACGAAGTCAAATGAGATTCAAGATTGTCCAAGCGAATTTTTTTTATTGTTCTTTTTACCGCTTGTACGTTATCAAGATAAGAGATTAGATCATGAAAACCTTAGTATTAAAAAGAAAAAGAAATAAAACCTGCATGAGTCAACCATAAGGAGGCTGACCTAAGACAAGCTCGTAGTATGCCCTATGGCCCAACAACGACACAATGGCCACCTGTAGAAGCTACAGGTTTATTAGCCTAGTCTGTAGGAGACTAGACCCACAGACTATTGTAGCCTCACTCGCAGGTTTGCTTGTTGCTTGTGGGCCTGCAAGGTTCAACCTAGCACATAGCTTGAAACTTGTATCCATTTTGAAGTGTTGGATTGTGCTGAATACTAGCCCAGCCGTAGTTTAAGCCAGACTAGCATAAGCCCATCATGAGCCATGGGCCCATCATGGATTAATTAGCACTCATTGAATTTAGTCTCATGTATCTCTCACTAAGTATAATTCACTATGATAGTTGGATATGAATTACTTGTTTGACTGATGAGATTGATGATGCATAAGATTATATTGTTCCTTGCAAAGGCAGATAGAACAGTACTAGGGGTTGATGGACCATCTAGTACTATGAATTACTCGGGCTAGGTAATTTTTCTATACACTCTTAGAGGAATGTGTTCCCATTTGGCAGATGAGGAATATCGTTTCATTTGTTATTGGGAGTGTGATATGAGTTTTTCTTATTCTTTGTTGAAACTTGAAAAAATAAAAAATCCATTCCATAAAGTTAAGTCTCTTTATATGTTATTGAGATTGCCCTATTTTATCACAATATGTTGCTGATGACTGTGTGAATGCATCATTTGTTTCTATTAACTATATTGAATAAGAGAATGTGGTAGTCATACTCCATTAGCTTCTGGGAGTGTTATATGATTATCCTCCTTTAGTCGGGTGTCAATGCTTAGTGAGATGGATATGCATGATTTACAATATTTATAAATATTATTGCATGACTTCATGCTGCATGAGTTTTTATTGGTTTGCTTGTGATCTTTGATGATTCATATACTACTATACTCTTAGTTGTAGATATGTGATTCACTTATGGTATGCAAAGTTGGTTATATGTGTGATATTGGATCAACATGTTGTTTTTAACCACAAATTAAATTCTAGATGGTTTCAAGATAACATGATGATAATTAAGGTAGCAGAATAGCTGGAATGTTATATTTGTATAAATGGATTTTTTAAAAGTGCAGGCTCACGTTGGAAGTGAGAGAAGGCTTGAATGAGCTTATAAGAGATAGGTGAGTCTATCATTCGCTTGGGCTTAAAAAGTTTAGATCAATGGTGCAGGATCAATAAAGTTAATGTGATAGGTATTCTGTAAAATTGGTACATGACATTGGGTTTCTGAGACCCACATATCATGGGTTGAATTTTGAAAACTAGTTTGTCAAAAATTTAGACACTAAAATATTGTTCTGGCAATAAATTTTCATTGAAAAAGGAACTAGCTACATATGCAAGGGGTATCAAGTCTATGAATTCACAAAAGATGCTCAAAGGGACTTGAGTTTTTATTCTATCTGTAGTATTGATTTTAGTATGCATTGCATCTTGCATCTTTATTATATCAGGATTAGATCCTGAGTAACTTGAATTTTTACAGAATGTTGTTTGCTGATAGTTTTGGCTATAAACTTGAAATTACTGTTTTTTTGTTAGGTATCTGATGAAATGGAGGACAGCTACAGTACGAGCTCTTCATCCAAGAATGGAAATTGCTGCTCTTCAGAATTGATTCAGGCTTCTAATCCTGGAATTGTGTGTCCTCAAATTTCTGCCAAAAGGAAATCACGCAAGTATTTCTATTATGATTCTCCACTTTATGAAGAAACTGGCATTTGGATACCTGTGTCTGTACCTCCGATGTCAGAAAGTGATCATGACGAATGGAGCAGGGGCTTTGGTTGTAATGGTGGGTACTTTCCTGAGGGAGAATTCAGTTGGGATCAATCTCTTGGAGTAGATAAGGAGATGACCATGTGGGATGTGGTTTCTGAGATGCTTCTTGTGGTCCGACACAAATTAAGTGGCCTTGCATCAAGTGATCTAAAGAGTTGTGGTATGTCTTGGATATCAATAGAACTCCTAGAAGAAACTTGGAAAGAGATGGCGAATTCTCTTGCAGAGACCAACTATGGGCATAGCATGGAGATTCTTGAAACAGATCCACCAAAGTGGTTGCCTGACAGTGCTGCAGCTTCTTGCATGCTGTGCAACGTGCGGTTTCATCCTTTTATGTGTTTTAGACATCATTGTCGGTTTTGTGGTGGCATATTTTGTGGTGATTGCTCTACAGGAAGAAGCTTGATGCCTCCAAAATTCAGAATTGCAGATCCACAGCGGGTTTGTGATGTTTGTTATGTCCGACTCAAGTCTGTTCAGCATTACTTAATGGATCAAGTTAGTAATGCTTCACAGCTTCTGACCCAAGATTTGACAGATCTCAGCACCTTGCGGTCATGGTTAAATTTTCCATGGGGTCGAACTATGGAATATGAAATTTACAAGGCAGCAAATATAGTTCGTAGTTACAGTAAGGTATATCTTATTTACTAATGGCATCGAAGTCTGGTTACTTTTGCACAAAACATTTTGATGTATTGCTGAATCATCTCATAATGGTACAGGCCATGATTTACCTCATAGGATTCCTTATATGCCAAGTACTGTCTTGTCTAGTTTGCATGTTTTGGTTTGATAGTGACCTTACAAGAATCTAATATTCATCTGGAATGAGCTTGGAAGGAGAGAGAAATAATGCAACTGATCAGGTTCTTAATAGAGTGCAGTTTAATGACAACCATTAACAACTGAACTTTCTTGTTTCTTTTCTGTGTGCCTTGGTTTATCAGTTTGGCTTTAGAGAGAGAATTTTTTCATCTTATCTTTTTGGTGGAAAGAGCTAGCTGCTATTGGTTTAATGCTAGAGGTGATTTCTTTTGGGGGTTATCACATTACAATGTTGTGCTTCACTTTGTATGATTTGCTAATTTACCATGTAATTCTGTATTTTCTTAACCTGTGGATTAACTTTGGATAGCACTGTCTTCGTCTGCTTCTAGAGTTCTAATGTTTTTGGGAATCAGGTTTTGTACTTTTGTGAGATCTACTTAAAATTACATTTTACACATGAACTTCCACCACAAAAGCTAAGGTTTTATGCTTTTGTTATAGTTATTTAAGATTACGTAGTATATGCATTTTTTGGAAAATAATAACCAATCTCTTTGATAGAAAGTCAGATCTCACTGTAATGTACTGCCAGGTGGGTTCACTGAGACCTGAGAAGTCCATCCCTGATGCTATTCTAAAACAAGCGCACGGCCTTGCCATACTGACTGTTGTAAATGTTGGATTAATGGTTACTTATAAAGTTGGGACTGGTCTTGTTGTTGCTCGTAGAGAGGATGGTTCCTGGTCTCCACCTTCTGCCATCTCTTCATTTGGTTTGGGATGGGGGGCCCAGGTAAAGTTTATTCCTTTCCTTACATGTGGCCTTATTTCTAAATATTATCAAATTAGAAAAAAGTTCTCTAGATCATGAGATGCATGTGTGAAATGATTATTTCATTATTTTTCCCCAGGCTGGAGGTGAGCTAACTGATTTCATAATTGTCCTGAGGAACAAAGCTGCTATAAGGACTTTTAGCGGAAATGCACATTTATCAGTTGGTGCAGGATTGAGTGCAGCTGCTGGCATTGTTGGACGGGCTGCTGAGGCTGATATACGTGGAGGTGATGGTGGTTATGCTGCTTGTTATACCTATAGCTGTAGTAAAGGTATGTTTAGTGCAAACACCCACTTGCTTCTTAAGGTAAGACAGTATAGTTGATGCATGCTGATTTCCTGATTTAGGTCTGATCCAATTTAGAATTTTGCTTTACCGAACTATCCTCCTAATTCCTAAACAGCTTATGTTCAAATCTATTGATAGGACAGGATGGTGTTTTGAGAATGTGGGTCTCTCTATATGAACATATCTTTGATTATTATGTTGGTTACACAATATTTTGACAAGGACACATCAACTACATATTTCCCACCTAAATATCAAATTCACTCATTAAATTCGCACACATCAACTACAGATCACATCAATCACTAATATCTCCCATAGGTATTCAATTCAGGAGTGCTATAGCTTATCATGTCACTATCATCGTCTATGATGCCGAACTCTGTTTAATAAGAGATTCACCAGCATGCAAAGTCTCAATATGGCTCACACATCACAAGTGGCTACTATGAAACCACATGTCATATCCCGAATCTGAAAATAATATGGGTCATGCTCCTAAAAAATTACTCAAAAAATGCTCTTTGGGTGTTTAGTTACTTGCATACCATCACAAGATTTACATCTTGCCCAATGTAGGATTACTAGGGTATATTTTGCAAATCTCCTCTTTAGAGATTCCAGATCAACCAGAGATTGACTATTTCTGGCTGAATGCAATACTTCTTTGAGAAATGATGTTTGTCTGTTCATTTGCTTCTCCATCCTTACATGGTTATAGCAGTCTTGAAATTAGCAAACTCCTAGGTTGATGTTCCTTCCATTTAACTCGATGCCCTTAACCTGATGTAGGAAATAAGAAGGAAAAAATTATGTTCTGAAAAGAAAAAAGTTATTTCCATTTCTAACTAGAATTATCCTACTTGGTATTTGTTAATCATCTTGCCATCCAGTGATTTGGATTGATTTTGTTCTGTCTGTGACATCTACTGCAGGTGCGTTTGTAGGTTGTGCACTCAATGGTAACATAGTAATCGCTCGCACTTCAGAAAACTCCCGATTTTATGGTGCTCCGCTCAAGGCATCGGACATACTCCTTGGGTCATTGCCAAGGCCACCAGCAGCAGCTGTTCTCTATAATGCTCTTTCCGATCTATTTCTCAAGCTCAAAAGGTAGCATAACATAGTATGGTGCAACTCATGCATCCAGTTGATAATCACTCTTTCAGCTGGAAGACATCCAAATTAAGTCTGCATCATGCAACTCGCGCTTCCAGTTGAGGGCCTCGTTCTTGCTCTTGCATCGATGCATTTATTCTTTGACTTTGTGGACAGAAAGTGACACTTGAATGTGTACATATGAAACATCATTCATTAATCCTCGTATGGCAATTGTGCATTGTAAATATCAAGCACACAGTGTGGAGTTTCAAAATCTATTATGTAGTTGGATATTAAGTTATTAATGATTACATGGCTGTATCGTATGCGTTGACATCAGTATGAGCCTGACAGCATAGTTTTTTCTTTGTGGATTCAGGCATGCTTGTGGCATGCATTTATTTACGGATTCAAGTACTAACTATAGCTGAAGTGGTCATAGTATATCTCCTCTCAACATCAGTCGTCTCCCCGAAACCTTCTGCCGCCGGTGCCGGCCTCCCTCTGGCAATTAAAGTAGGTGGCGGCGACAGGCGCCAGGTAGTACTGCTGCGCGAACCTTCTCGTGCTGAAGTTGTGGCGCATCTGCGGCGCGAACACCGTCCCCCTCCCCATCTGGCGGAGCAGCACGAAGACCATGCGGTGAATCCCTGCCGTCGGCCGCGGGCTCTCGTAGCAGACCAACTCTCGACCTGTGCGCGCGGAACCCCATCATCATCAGCAGCAGCTTTTTCATGCACACCACATAATATATAAGACTCGCCCATGGACGAGAAATTCCAGAGATGCCTATGTGAAAGTCAAACCCAAGTTGAAAGAAAGTATCTTCGACTTTTCCCCAAGTTGCAGAAAACCTACGTACTCACCGAAACTTGCGTTGGTGGTGGCAGGGATGTCCGTCACCAGCCTGCAAAACCATCAGTTCCAGATCTATCAACACCATCCAATCCACAAAAGTCTCTCTTTGTCATTCTGAATGCAGCAGCAGAACATCTCTTACCAGTGCAGGTACTCCTTCAGCGTCGGATTGCTGGGGTTTGGCGCATCTGGATCCACCATCACCTGCCAAACATACCGACGATAAGAAGCAAGCGAGAGGATGCCGAATTCAGAAAGGAAAAAGCACTGACAAGAGTGTAGAACGTCCGCAGGTCATCTCCTCCAACTTCGACTTTCGGCTTATCGACCACGGCGGATGATTTGAAGTCGCTGCCATTGATGACCAGCTTATTCTTGTAAAGGACGCCGAGCGATACCGATCTGGAGAAGGGGTCCAATACATCGCCTATGACCTGACCCAGAGTCAGAGGGTCCCTCGACATTTTGCAAGACACTCGAAGCAACCAGGAAGGAGCACAAGCTTCTTCGCATTCAACAAGGCTGAGATCGATGAATGGCTCAACTGATGAGAAGCCTTTCTATAGAGGGTTCACTGCAGATAAAGAGCGTACGGCACGCAGGAAGCCCATTCCGCCCACGATATTCCTAGATATCTGTCGCTGTAGTTGAGGAATCCGCTTTTGTAACCAAAGGCTTTGATTTATCATCAGGCGTTCCAGTAAGTTTTCGAGTGCGAGAAGAAGCATTCAAACGCAAAAACCAATGAGAGTTTCATCCTTGCTTGCAGATCAGTCTTTTTCCCATCTCTTGATAAACTAATAATCATCACATATTTAGGTAATAACAAAGGAAAACTAGATTAGCTGTGGATACTGATAGATAGAAAGAAATGCAAAGTGGCAGATACGACAAAATAAAAATGCAAAGGAGAAGAGGAGGCACATATCTTTTTGGTACGACAAAAGAAGTGATCCCTTTCCGACGATGATAAAGAATTTGCATCATTGAAAAGGGATACAAAGGCAATGTACTACGTCGGTAACTTGGGGTTCAAGACGTTCGAGCCTTATTCCTGCTGGCTGAGTTGCTCAGGAAACTAAACTTTGGGATGATTGAGTTGCTTTACCAGCACTAGCAAACGGGCGATTTCGTTAGAAAATATTCTCATTTTGAATTTTTTAAATAACATATTTTTTGTTTTTTATTCAAATAGTATTTCTAATTCAAAAAATATTCGAGCATTTTTCCTTATTTGTTATGGTATTTTAACCTATTTAAAAATATTATAAATAAGCTAAGAAGAATCAAGATAAGCTAGAAATTATTTGATATATGAGGATTCAGAATTTGACTTGTTACTACGTAATAAAAGAACCTGTTGATAATAGGAGTGATTTTATTCATGGGGGTGTTGTATATTTATACATGTTTTGAGAAAGAAATTTTTATTAATCATACTCAAATTACTCAATCAAATCAATCAGATCCTCAAATCATTGAGGTGTTGTATATTTATACATATTTTGAGAAAGGAATTTTTCTTAATCATATACTCAAATTACTCAATCAAATCAATCATTTATTAATCATTGAGGTGTTGCGTGTTTATACATATTTTGAGGAAGGAATTTCTTTAATCATGCACTCAAATTACTCAATCAAATCAATCACTTATTAATCCTCAAATCATAGATTGATTGAGGATGAAAGGAATATAAAGATATCATTTCATATATATTTTTATCATGATCTTTTATCAAATGTTATTCCATATCTACTTTTGTTATGATATTCTATCATGTCCTCGAAAAAGTGAGCTTCTATCAAGGATGTCAATCTTAGAATAATGTAATTGAAATATCCTACGAGCGAGGGGTTTTATGAGGGGGTTTGCTAGTTGGTCTAAAGTATAAACATGAGAGACATGTAAATGATGTTTGACTACTTGATTACTAACAAAGTGAAAGTTGATGACAATTTGTTTCATGTGTGAGTGAACCATCGAATTGTGTATAGGTAGGTGCCATTGACATTATCACAATATATTATAGGAGTGGATTGGGAGGTGATATCAAGTTCATGTAGCATATTAGTAACCTAATTGAGTTCTGTAGTGATGGTGGCGATGACTCGATATTTAGCTTTAGTAGTAGATCTTGTGACTATATTTTATTTCTTAGAACTCTAACTGATTAGATTTATTCTAAAGAAAATAATGTAGATTGACGTAGACATTTTATCATCAGTACTACCTGCCCAATCAACATTGACAAAGGCATGAAGATGAAGTGATGAGTATCTATGAATAAGTTTATAATTAACAGTCCTTTTGAGATATCACAAGATACATTTTAGTACAGACCAATGCTTAATTGAGGGTCGATACATAAATTATGATAATTTGTTGACTATAAATGAGATGTCTGGATGTGTGAGATAAATATTGTAAGGAATCAAGTACTTGTCGGTACTATATGAGATCCATAGTATAGCTATCATTGAGTGATTTAGTAGTGGAGAGTAGGGTGACAACTTCTTTCGTATTCTGTATGTTCGTCTTTGATAATAAATCTTAAATGTACTTCTTTTGATAAAGAAAAAGTTCAAAAAATGTGAATGTTACTTTTACTCCCAGAAAATAGCTTAAGGTTCCTAGATTTTTGTTAAAAAATTGATCTATTAATTACTTATGAAATTACTTAATTTTTATGGATTATTACCCATGATGATAATGTCATCTACATAAACTAGTATATATATAGTACGTCCCTTTTGTTATTGTAGAAATAAGAAAGTATTAGATTTGAAGTTGACAAAGCTGTTTAATGTCAAAAACGAACTAAGTTTAATATACCAGGCTTTTAGAGCTTGGCGAAATCCATAAATAGCTTTTCATAATTTACAAACATGGCTTGAATATTAAGGGTGGATGAAACTAAGAGGTTATTGCATAAAGATATCTTCAATTAAAGTCCCTTATAAAAATACATTGTTAACATCTAGTTGATGTATACGCCAATCTTGAGTGATAGCTAAACTTAGGATAAATTAGATTATCGTCGATTTTATAATTAGATTGAATGTTTCTGTGAAATCAATACCTGATCGTTGGTAAAACTCTTTAGCCACTAGATGTACTTTCTATCTGACAATGAATCAATAGAGTTTCGCTTAATTCAAAAGATCTATTTACATTCGATGATATTTTATGTATGAAGAAATGGTACAAGGGTTAATGTAGTATTGTAAAGTAGGGTATTACATTTTTCATATATGACTTTACGTTATTGTGGAGATTTTTGAGCTTTGATGATGGTTGTGGGTTCAGTAGATTTAAGTGGAGAGGTTATGGTAGCATGAAGGTCAAATATTTGACATAGTTTGAAGATGTCATTTTTAAAGTATATTCTCATGTGATGTTCAAGCTCGATGGTATTATTTTGTTGTGTTGGAGGTATGAGAATTGATAGAGAGTTACCTAATCAAGTTAATGTACTTCGTCGTCACTTGATCAAGAAGAGGATAAAGACATCTTTTGTGGTGCTAAGGGTGTTGCTTCATTAGGCATTACAGGATGATTTAGTAGAGAAGTAGATAGAGAAGTTGTAGAGGGGTGAGGTGCTGCCGAACTGGAGTGATAAGGGAGTGTAGGTCTAGAGGAGAGTTATTGGATGATGTGATGAGAAGTGTGTTTGAGGGGATTAAGGTGTACTCATATGAACCTATTCATATATGGTTGTTGTAGTGACTCGTATTACTGAAGATACATGGTTTTAGAATGGAAAGACGGACTCAAGAAAAATAACATGACGTGATATAAAGAACATTTGAGCTTGAGGATCATAACACCAAAAAGCATTTAGTCAAGAGAGTACCTAATGAAGATACAAAGCTTGGATCTTGGTGTTAACTTATATGAGGTGTAAGGGTGTAGCTAGGGATAACATAAACAACCAAATACTTTAAGTTTTTAAAGGTTTGAGATTTTATAAAATATTTTTTTTAAAATAGTGACTAGTGTTTTAGGATTAGGGTGAAAAGGTTAGTAATATGGATGCTTAGTATAAAAAGATGAGACCGATTTCAACTATATGTTGATGCTTTCGTTCGATAAAACTAACTAGTTGAGGCGTGTATGATGGTGATTTGAGATGTTATATGCCAAAGGATAAGAGGTTAGTTGTCGGATATTCACATCCTCCATTACAGTAAACTATTTTAATTGTAGACTAGAAGAAATTATCTATCATTTTTCTAAAATGAGTAAAAACCATGGTGACATCAAATTTATGTTTGAGAGAGTATAACTATGTATATTTAGTAAAGTAATCTACAAAAATTACATAAAATATAAAATTATCAAATAATGTGATTGGGGTAGGGCCGTAAACATCGTAAATAATTTCAAATGATTTGAAGCTGAATAAGAGAGAAATTTCAAAAGGTAGTATACGACTTTAATTACTAAAGCAAGTATCATAATGAGTTGTAATTCT